ACCCCGTTTCAAATGAACCATGTGCCCTGCGCACAGACAGGTCGCTGCATATTTGCCAACCACGGCACCTAACCCTGGCATCAGATGACTTACAGGCTCAGACAGTCCATTGAGTAAGTGATTGCTGCCGATTTCTGCGACGTCTCATTGTATTCCACGCTATAATAAAGCTGACAAGCTAAATGTTGTCTATAAGGAGGTTGCCAACTCACTGTAAGACCTGGGCATCGTAGTCAACCCTCTGTGTCGGGGGATGTAAGTTATCTAGCTCGGGAGCGCATCGCACAGGATGGGACGGATCAAACCATGCAAGTGGCGTCTTGTCCGCATAGTGCTTAATTGAAACCAACCGCCATCTCTGGCTCCCCGGAGCCAAAATCGGCCTAGCAACTACGCCCAGATAATCACCACAGTTGTCAGGCTAAACCAAATGAGGATGTCCGGAGTTATATTTATTCCCTCGCCTTGTAGTTAGATCTCTTTCCTCGTTCCCACTTACACTTCAAAAAGTCTTACGGAGATGGTGACATGTGATCCCGCCGGCAATCTGAGATAACTCGGGTCGACCTTCCACCAAACAAAGGGATGACCCATACTGCGGTTCGGCAGCCGTCTAGGATGTCTTAGCAGCCCAATTTAGGGAGAGAACTGCTTGCTCCACGCAGAGAAAGGGGTTAGAAAGGGTGTCCCAAACAAAGGTTGGGATCGCTTCATCTCCACTCAGACTGTGGCTCGCAAGACAATCACACAAATAACAACCCCCCTCCCCATCTTCCTCCTCCTACGTCCCAAGCTGCTAACGTATGACTGCTCACTCTGTCAGCCTGAGTGTGCGTTACCCCTTAAATCCTCCTCTAAACAACCGGCCGGAAATGTTGACCCCATCACAAACTAGACATCGTTACCCTCGGTGAGATCTGCTGCTCCGAACAAGACCAACCGAAAAAAATAGGTGCCGGCCGCATCTTATTCTAGGGAGGCCTCAGCGACGTAATTCTGGCGTCACCTTTGTCATCCGGCATGATTATGAAAAGATCGTTTTGTCTACCTCAGGACATCAACGACCGTCGCATGATCCTACGTTTGCCTCTTCGGTGGACCAAATACGCCACCATAAGCGCCTGTGCACCATCAATGACTCACTCGGACTATGTGAGCAACAGGTTCTACGTCGTCCTGACGACTGTGCCTAAGACGAGCTTACTGATGATCGTGGGTGACTTAAATCCCCGCGTCGGGGTGGACTATGCTGGCTAAAAGCAAGTACTGGACAACTGCGGTCCCAGTGACTTTAATATCGACGGCCTCCTTTTCCTGCTAACCTGCACAGAGCACGGTCCGCTTTTTGCCAACACCTTCTTCTACCCTCTGACATCAGCGAAAGCAACCTAGATTTAACCATGATCGCGGCGTTTGCAGCTGTTGGACTACGTCCTGGTTC